TGGACGGGGGATCGAACCAGTAACCTTCTGGTTCCAGGACGACTCCCCTAACCACTCCGCCACAGCCGCCCCGATTTAATTACTAAAGAGCAAGCGAACGTTGCGCACAGCAGATAATTAACTCACCCAACCCATTCTCACTCCCAACTCGTCACATATTGACGTTTTGCAAGGTTCCCTCTATGTCCGATTTTGACGCGCGGGGTACCCCCCTCACGTCAGTTACTGACGAGATGGGGCGGAAGCTGTTGTCATATGTTCAGAAAGTGTATAAAATGCACAAAAACGACTGTTCCAAAGCCTGAAATTACCTTAGTTCACTTTAGACATCCTGTCCCTGACCCTAGTAGGTAAAATTARSCATTTTTAGAAAATGTACGAAATTCAGGTGAACATGTTCTGAAGCGTAAAATGACCTAATATTCACCATGGACATCCTACCCCTGATCCCAGAACCTAAACTTAACCATTAAACCCGATCCCTCATGTTAACCTCAGACACCCGCACCAAAGCCCCCTTGTGGCGCAACCTGGAAAAGCCGTGGGCGTCAAGGAGTGACGCGAGGGGGGTACCTTCTGCGTCCAAATAAGACRCMGAGGGAAYCTTACCTTAAACGTCAATATGTGACGAGTTGGGAGTGAGAATGTGTAGACTCACCAGATGAGTTAGAGGCAATTTGTTCGGTTAGTTTCGCCGCTCCAGAAGCTGCCACCTGACAGACCTTTTTTTTTGTCCGGACTAGCTGGCTCACATTGGCACTTATATATCCAGCCACAAAATCCATGCAGGTGGTCGATTTCAGGTAAAGATCTCCTGTTCATCTGTTTCGGTTTAGTGGGCAACATTCAGGAAACTGTCGCATGGAAAAATGAGTCTCTCGGATTGGTTGATGCGACGCATCGAGCAGCAAAAGTTCAGATTTTCCAACTCACGCGGCGGATGCTTGGGACGTGCAGCACGTGCACTGCTTCGAGCCGCGCTGCTCCAAATGCACCAGATGTGCTGCTCAGCTTCTAGACACCCCTAGATGCGTGTCCACCATTGACTTTGCATGTAAACCAGATGCTCCTGATGCTCAAAACACGTTTGGTGTGAATGTACCATTAATCCATATACTATATATAAAAAAAAATAAAAAAATCCAAAAATTCCCTTCTCACCCTCTGCGGGTGGTCTCTTTCATCCTCTGAGCTCGGGTCCTCTACCAGAGGCCTGGGAGCTTGAGGGTTCTGCGCAGTATCTTAGCTGTGCCTAGAACTGCACATTTCTGGACTGAGATGTCTGATGTTGTTCCTGGGATCTGTTTTAGCCACTGCTCCAGTTTGGGGGCAGACTGGAGACTCAACAGTGAAGCAGTCTACCAGAAAAGACAGAGCAGACTGTACTTCTTGAGGAAGCTGAGAT